TGCAGCCTTTATGGTAATAAGGCTTGCCTGTGCCTAGCGTTGTTTAATGGCTGTTGTAATAGAAATGAGGTTTTTGGACACGTGCACATTCAGAATTTTTCTTTAATCTAAAATCCTGTCCGGTGATGCAGAAGTTGCTCTATTTTCTGTTTTAAAGTACAGGTACATTTCTGTTGATTCCTTTTGTTGCAGTTGTAGACATACAAAATGTCACCGTGGTTCAAACTGCAGATGGCAGAGTTAATGCTAAAAATGGTGATTCTTTAGATGACAGGATAGTAATCCAGTGTTTATAGCAATACCTTGGAAAGTTCAACCAGAAGTTAATGAAATCATAGGCAGTCAGCATTAGCTATTATTTATATGTTTGCATTGCTTGCCAATGAAGTGCTTATGTATGTTAAATGACTGAAAGTAATAAGCAGAGAATGAGCCAGATTGAAACACGTAAATTTAACTCTGGCACTTAGAAAAACATATTTTTCCTTTTTGCTGCATTATCCTACTCCTGGCACTTATAAAAGCTTTTTTTTTTTTTTTCCCCCACTTGCTAAAAGTAACATTTTTCAAGAGACTCTAAACGTGTCTCAGGTCTCTTGTTTTCACATCTGTGTCTCCTCTGTTATATGACTCTTCTTTTGTGTTCGTGCTTATGCAGTTTGTGATTGTTATTAATGTAATTACTTGCTCAAAAGTTAATCCTCATTTTCTGTGGTTGATTTGGGACAGTTCTGGTGGCCTGTAAACTCTTCTGTTTTTCAGTAACCAGAGTAGTTGCCTGTTAGACCAGTCCCTTTTTTCTGGGCTTGTGTGATTATTTTGCGGATTGAACTGCTTGGGCAGTAGGGCTGCCAGGGGAAAAACACGTGTTATCCTTGAGGCGAAATAAAGATGCCCTCCAAGTTACAAAGAGGCTTTGGCATTCTTTTTGCGTGTTTTGGGGGGGAGCAAAGAGGGAAAAGAAACAGAAGCGCTATTCTCTTCAACGCTGTCAAACTTCTGAAGTGAACAATCTTTTAGGTAGTGGTATGCACAGGAAAAAAAGCATTTGCAAGGTGAGCTGGTAAAACAAATAGTCCTTTTTTCTTTAAGATGGATCCGTTCCCAGTGCTGGAGTGCAAAGAACGAGAAACTAATGTGTACACAGTAGAAAAGACAACATCTTATTTTCATGCCTTTAAGTAGGTATTGCATACCACAGGAGTCTTAAAAACAAGTTTTAAAAAAAGGTTTAAAGTCAGTATTGTCGAGTATCGGCACTGGCACAGCAAGTCCAGCTTTCTGCTCTTGCCACTTGACTTGTGGCTTGTGTGAGATGGACCGAGATCATCGTTTTGCTCGCATGGGGGTGCGGTCATGGGAGCTGACACTGATGTAGTCAACAGAGGCAGATTTACAAGCCATCGTTCTGTGGTACATTAGGAAATTTCACCTGGGGAGACAGGTTTGAAAGCAATGGTTTCTACTAAGTGATCTCGGGTAATGCATCTCCCTGACTTACAGCGGTGTGAGGTGCTGTTGATGGCTCTGATGAGTTAATGCATCTCTTAGCAGTAGCTTGCAGAGCGAGCTGAAGAAGGGGGGTGGGGAGGGATTTTTTTTTTTTTTTGGAGGCTGAAGCATTGTTTTCTATGGTTACTCTGCATTAATACAGGTAATTATTGCACGGAGTACCTGTAACATCCCCGTAGGTGCCACGTAGAAAGCTGAAAATTAATAGAAACCCACTCTGGCTTAGTTTGCTTGTTCCCTCTGTAATAGCCAAGCACTTGTTTTACTGCAGTAACACCCTGTGTGCTATTGTTATTTTTAGTTTTTGGTAAGGAAAGAAAAAAAAAAATCAGGCTGCCAGTTAAGGGAACAGTAATGTTTGGTCTAAAAACAGATTGCAGGTAGTGATCAGAGGTCTTTGTCCAGTAGTGACCTTTTATTTTTACAAGTACTTTACTTTCTTTAAAAGCCCCTCAAGTATAAATAGATTGTAAATGCTCCAATAACTTGGTGGAGGTGGAAGAGCACCTTCATCAGTTCAAGATCTGTTCCTGTTGATGATGGAAGATCTGAGCCAATTTGTGTGAAGTGTAACCCGTAATGTACTCATTTCTTCAACACAGCTGATAACGTGCTCACCCCTGTCACTAGAAGGTACGCAGTGTGACTTCTGAGTGGCCTAATTTTCTAGAGGGCTGTGCTCTTCTGGTTTTGTAGCCACCCTGGTCCTCTGCATTTTTGGACCTGTTTGAGGTGTGTAGTAACAATTGTTGATCAAATTGTTTGCTGGAATCTGGGCTCTTGGGGTGTTACAAAGGAGGCTCAAAATTATATGTAACTGAAATTTCATCAGCAAATAGAATAAATCAGTTGTTATTTTTAATACCTTGAGGTTCTTGTGCAGGGACGTTACCGAAGAAACCAAAGTAATTTGCAGTTCACTTTGTACTGCAAACACATTGGCTTTATAGACTGTCACAATCTGTCCTGTGGCATTCATGACCAGAAAATGGAGATGCTAATAAAATAGATGGGAAGATGGCATGGCCTGATATGTGGTATCCAGAATTCATAGAGCGCCCCACTATGATAGACCATGGTGCCTTGTGCGAAAACGGGCATTTCTTGTTCTCTGAAATTCCCTCTTCATTTACGGTGTCGTTTTCGTTGAACAAGTGAACCCTGCGTTACCAAAAAGCTGTGTGCTTACAGATGCACAAGCTGTTCAAACCCCGAGCTGACAAGAGCCAGGAAGTGAAAGTGAAGATTGCTTTGTACCAGGTCTTACAGATGTGCTTTCTTCCCACGGCTGCATGGGTCCTGTTCGGGGCGCAGAGCTTTGCTTGCCATTGCCCAGCTTTTGGCAAGTTCTGCTGCAGACTTGTTGCTGAATATTCTGCCCTGTCATTTGCAGAAGTACCGCGGCTCTGGCGCCGTGCTGGCTTTCTTACAGCGGGCTTGTCCCGTCTGAAACCTGGAATCAACAGTGTTGCAACTTGAAAGAAGCATATTATATATATGTTTGTAATACACACACACATACATATGCGTGCGTGTCTGTGTTCTGCTGTAAACGTCATCATAGCAATCTTAAGTTGCCGTTTGACTTTCTTCTGTAGGTTGTATGGTGGCTTTCAAAAGTGCCCAGACTTTTCATGGAGACAGTATTTGCTGGGAGAACTGTACAAAGCTGGCTTTCAGTGGAAACGGATTTTTGTTAGTATCGCTAAAAAAAAAAAAAAATCTGTAGGGCTAGTAATCTGGTTTTTCCCTTCCCTTCTGTCTTGATTCAGATGTCTGCCTTTATTTCTTGGTAAAATCACTTAGATCTACTTAACAGAAGTAAACTTGAGTAATTTGCGTACAGCTTTTAAAAGTCTCTGAATCGTGCTCCTGGATGCAGTATGAATGCAGGGCATTCTTCTGCACCAAAGAGCTTACAGTCGAGTTAAGGCAAGACCAAACAAAAGAAGCAATATAAGGAAAAACCAGTATTGTTGGGAGGTGGCCCTAGGGTAGAAGGGGTCTGACCATTGCAGATGTACCTAATTGGTACTTATGGATTGGCTGAGAGATGTACGTAGCTAAAGTGAGCAGCAGTAAGAAGGTAATCACGCTAATTTTATTTGAAGCAGAATGCTGTTCTGAAACTTGAGCCTTTTGATAGAAGAAAACGAGGAGGTTTTTTTTGTCTTGTAATCAGGTTTTTGTTATAACTGTAATAGTGACAAAGTAGTTAATCCCTTGTCACTGTTCAGTAAATGTATCCTGATCCCTGTTCAGTTCATCGGCGTTGGGAAAAATTCCAGGATTACAGTACTTGTTGAAAGGTTTTCTGGTAGTGATTAAGCACAGGTCTAGCAGCATGGATACGTGTAGAGAGGGGCATGCAGATGGCTTGGGATAAATTCTGGGTGGGAAGGAAAAGCAGGAGAAAATCATGGTTTGATTGCCCCTATTGTAAAGAAACTTTTGAGGGTCTGTACAATCCGGTGGTGCTAATCGATAGCTTTGAAGCTTTGGTTTGCTTAGCACGTTGTTTGGAAAAACGACCTCCTGTCTGTGCAGGGAAGCTTGCATGCAAATCGTTCTCCCTTTTGGGTGGAGGAAGATAATTCAGTTTTTGTCATCCCAGCAATATTTCTTTCTCTTTGAGATCAGCTTCAGAAGACATAGAGCAGGCTCCTGACTAGTCCTTCAGTTCTTAAAATCCCACTGTACTTTGAAGATAGGACAGGCGATAAATCTACAGTGTGCTAAATGTTTTCTATCAAGAGCTGGAGATTCTCAGGGGTTCACTGTCAAATGTTTTTTTCAGTGTAGTTGTTTTTCTACCTCACCCTGATTTGAATGTCTGTCTACTTGAGACAGCTTTTTGATCAGACAGGTACTGAATTTGTGGTGGAAAATAAGTGTGCTGTAGGCTCTGACCAGCTGAAACAGTCATGGCAACGTAGACATCCCTAGTTGCTTTTACGTGCTCTTGTAGCGACTTGTAGAGGTTTGGTTTCTCTTCCATGCTTGTGTTCCAACAGCGTGGTGATCGTTGCAGTGCAATGAAAGTAAAGAGAATTTTCTGGATGGGTCAGCTTGACATGCCATGACTTTCAGTCCCTCCTGGATGTTAGTTTTCCCAGTTGGTTGTAGTAATCTGAGCAAAACATGCTGCATAAAGTACAACTTCTTTAGAAAAATATTTGTTGGAGCTTTTTAAAATTTTCCTCGGAATTTCTAATTAAAAAATATTTTTTAAAGTTAACCAAAAAATCTTCAGTGTTTTATGTGCTCAAATGTTACCTGGGAGAAGGAAGGGGAAAATATACTTGTTGTAATGCTGTTTTTTCTACCCCAGTTACCCCTTCAGGTTGTTTAAATTTCACTTCCTCTATCAACAGTAAAAATAATTAGGCATAGAACGCTTCATGTGGCCCCCTTTAGTGGTTTTTTCCTCCAATATTAGATCTCTGCTAATTCCATTGAATGATCTATTTGTCTTCTTTATTTTTTAGCTACATGAAAGTAACTATGATGCTGGAAAAGCCCTGCAGCGCTTGGTGAAGAAACCTGTGCCAAAACTGATTGAGAAGTGTTGGACTGAAGATGAAGTGGTAGGGAAATAAATTATTCCCTTGAGTCCTATAGTTCATGTTGCTTCACTTGCTTTTTGCCTTTTTTTTTTTTCCTAAAGAGGTTATCTTTATGGGAAAGAGGGACAAATAATTTGCTGCATAAGGACAAATTTTTGCACAATTCTGAGTTACTGTGCCCTTGTTTGATATACAGAACTTGGTTACACTGGGGGAACTACCTCTGTAATAGTAGAGTAAGAGTTGAGAAGATCAAGTGACTGTATTTGAGAGGATGCTATAGGGTAAATGAACAGCTGCAAAACTTGTGGGCTCTAAATTTGACTCTCATGGGAATGAAGGCTGGCCACATTCATTCATTGGAGCGGGACAAGGTGTAAGAGGTACATAAAGCATTGTCCCTGGGCTTTTTCCTGCTGGTATTAGAGGAGGCTTACAGTGTCAGCTCCAGTTGGCTAATGAGAAGCTGGATATCAGTGTTTCTCTGAAACAGAGTTTGAGATTTTGAGTCCATTCTTCCCCTCATACAGAATATTAGAAAGTGTTTACTGGCATAGTTTGTGATGCATGAAACTTTGACAAAGAGCAGACCAGGAACAGATTATCTGAAAGCTGGGATTTAGCCATGCCATCTTTCTTTAAAGTATGGAGAAAGTGGAAAAAATAATTTTTTTTGACCTGCGAAAGACACCTCTTCATAAAAGCTGTAGTTGGCAGAGAGGGCGCGCTGCTGGGAAAGCACTTCACACTCCAATGGACCACTTTTTTTTAAAAAAATTTCTGGGTATTTTTCCAGAATTTGGGGGAGATGGTATCTGTGTGAGAATTAGCGAAGCAAAGGTGCTTCTTGTGGTTCATTCTGCAGCTTAATTGCTGCAATTGCGAGGTTTCTGCTGGCTTTATTTTTGTGTCTGATAGAATGCAACTGTGCTTATTAAACAGTTTTCTGTAAAGTTGTAAACTGAAATAAATCATGTGAAGTTGGGAGCAAACTATAGATTCTTAATTTGCTGACACTTTGTAAACAGATTCTGAAATACTGCATTCAACACAGGATGCATTTTCTGGCAGCATTTGGAATCCAAATGCTGCTGCATTACAACCCTTTGTCAGTCCTTGCAGCTTGAGGTAGCGCACACACACACACACAAGAAAGCAAAACTCGTGCATTTTCAGTACCCAGGAGAAAGCTGAACAAATTCACTTGGATTACATCCTAAAAATATTTTGCATTTTAATGTTGATGTAATTATGCTTAACAGGATAGATTTATGTGAGATGTGACATGTAGGAAGACAGTACCTCTTTAGCAGGCTGACTAGGCATGTCTGGTTTTGTGAAAATGGAAAAATGTTATAGTTCCTAGCGCAATCATTAGGCTGCAGTGTGCACTAAAATAGAAAATCAGATGATTGGAGGTTAGTTATGATAAAATATTAATCACAGGCGAACTTCAGGCTCGCTTATGGTTTTTACCTTGCACTGTTGGAAAAGCTGCTTCTCTCTTGTACCCTATGGGAATAAGTGGGGACAGAAATTCAACTTGTCATGTACACTTACCAGGTATAGGAACGAAAAAGATTGATGCGGTGCAAGACAGCATTGCTCATGTAAAAGTGACAAGAGACAAATTTGGTGCTTTTTTTTTTTTCCTTTGAGTGGATGAATTTTAAGCTCGTTAATTGGTAAAGCATTTGAAGAACTAAAAAAATAAAAATTTTGTGATATTATTGAGCTACTAATGAAGTTGGTTTTGGTGCTGTAAAACAGAACTGATTAATAATGGGTGAAACTTTCCTGTTCTCTTACCATTTTTTCAATTGTTCAGACAATGGCTGGAGAGACTTTTTTTTTTTAAGCTGTAGTTTCTCTGAAAGTCTTTCAGGGAGATATTCCAATGAATTATGTGTGTTTGCTCTCTCTTATGTAAACCTTTGTGCAAAAGCTAGATTAGGGGTAGGCCAGGCCATATAAACCTGTATTAAAGTAGGCTTACTCTGAAATCCAACAAAGAGCCTCTGTGGTAAGGAGACTGCCTGAAGTCGTAGAGTGAAAGAGGATCACGTGCTAACGCTGGCAGCGAAGCGAAGGAGAAGATGAGCAAAAAGCCTAGAACACGGTTTCCTGATAAGTTTTACACTTATCTTGTCATAAAAGGGAGTTTTGTTTCGGGAACTGACTGTCGGAACAAATACTTCAAGTGGTCTGCCCTGTGTTTAGTAAATTTGTATTTTTAACCTCTGTTTTCTCTACATACAGGCCTTCCCACATTCATGGTTAAATTGTACAGTGCCAACACCTCTTTTTTTTTCTATGTAGATTTTTTTCACTCTCCTTGGTTTTTTCCATTAGCTGCACTATGTTGTGAATGCCATAGCTGCTGCAGCTCAGGGTTTTTTTGATGAACAGTCCATGTTAAATGATAGAGAATAGAGCCTTACGAATAGAAAAAGCAGAGTTTATTGAAAAATGAAACATTACTCCAAAAGTGCAAACTCCATGAGTACAGAATAATGATCACTGACTCTATAAATCATTGTCAGTCTCAGCTCATTTTATCATACTTGTTCTTGTTCTCTTCCATCCAAGTTTCCAGAAATGTTTGGCAGCTCTCCAGCCTCAGCAGAGCCAAAGATCAAACTGTGCTCTTATTTATAGACAGCTAAGCTCCACCTGCACAACTTCACGGCATGTTTGTCCCTGGCAGTTTGTAGAAAACTCTGGACTAAAGCAGCTGTGCTGCGCTTCTGCGTGTGCCTGAGACTTGCAAGGAAAGTTGCCTTATAGTTGGCTTTGAAATTGAGGAGAACTTTTCTGCATGATACGTAGGGTGCTAAAGCTGCACAGGAGCTCCACAACAAAGTATTTTTCAGAAGACACTGATGCGTCAAACCCAAAGTCTGGCCAAACCAATTAAATTTTGGTGAGAATCAAAGTGTGTGTGTGTCCCCTCCATCTCATGATGGCAAGCGATGAGCAGGAGGAAGCCTCTCGTGCGGCTGGCTGATAATCCGAGACGCACACTTCTGAGGGAAGTGGAAGACCCAGGTCTGAACAATGTGCCTGTTTGTGCTCGACTTAGAATTCATCTTCTCTTGTGGCTCAGCAAATAACTACTTACTTAATTTTTACAATTTGGATAAATAAGCAATGCCACGCCAAGTACAAAACTTTGGTTAGTTAACCTCCTTAACTGAGAGAGGTTCTGTGGTATGTGACCAATGCGAATCGCGTAGGTCGTGGCTTCTGTTGTCTCGGTTTTTCCACGCCTACCTTTCTAATCCTATAATCATGTTCTGCCCCCTGCCATGCCTTTGGACCCCAGAAAAGTCAACATCCCCCTTTTGTTAAGTTAATTTTCTGACAGATTTTTTAAGATGAGCATCAGAAAAGTTCAGTTGCAGGGGAGATGCAAGGTCGTGCGTCTCAGCGGAGGGACAGGAGCGTTGCGGCAAAGTCAAGTAATTGGGCAAGTGGCAAAAGCGGCTGAAGCAGAAGTGTAGTCACATTGATGAAGGGAAAGACCTGACTTAGTGTTAAACGAATTCTTAAAACTCCACGTTTCCCTAAGTCAAAAATCCCCTGTAAGTTGGTTGGTCTGTTACTTGCACAAGTATTTTGACTGAGTCCATTTCCACTGTGCTAGATGATTAATGTGGTTGATTTTGTTGTGCACGTGACAGCAACACTGTGTTCAGTGCAGGTCTCTGCAGTATTCAGTAGTGTTTCTGATACAATACTGTGTGAATAAGTCAAATTTACTGAAAATTTGTATTTATATATAAAGCTTTTAACTTTTTCTGTGGACTGTCTGTTGCCCAAAGATAAAGCCTTTCTTGTTAATTAGAACAGCTTTGCCTGTGACCAAACTGTCAAGTTAGAGCTGCTTCGCAGTGATCAGAACTGATTAAAATAAAGAGTGGAAGTTACATTATTTTTGCTACTGCTGATGTGGTTACAGAGGTTTAGATCAAATTAAGCAAAGGATAAAATTTACCAGTGATTCAATTAAATGGAAGGATCTGTAAATATGAAGACAGAGGTTTGTTTTCTCCTTTGTGCTTCTAAACCTATGGCTATTTTTAAACCTTTTTTATTCTAGTATGTAAATCAGAGGGATACTCTGAAAACAGTCTTCCACGCTGCCTGATAAAAGTGGCTAAAAAAACTTCTGTACTGAGGCATCTACATGCAGCTCTAAGAGCAGCTGTTTCCTGTTTATAAAGGCTTGTGCTACACCTGACCACATCAATTTCCAGCAATGATTTGGTGAGGGAGGGGTGGTTTCTCTTGTAATGTTCATGAATTTCCTTCTGTGGACAAAGCCGTTGAGCAGTTGTCCTATATCATGCCATATTTAAGCACTTCCTAAGCACGCACCATATAGACCAACATCCAGCAGCATCACCCAGTGGAATCTTGTTAGTGTTAGGCTGCAGTTTGAAGTCGAAAGCAGTGCAGTTCCGAGTAGATGCATTATTTGGGAAGGAGCCAGTCTTCTGTTTCGATACAGCTGGTGGCAGCGCCCTCCAACAAGCTTCCTACGGCTGAAGGTCACGTCTGGCATGTGGCACGATGCTCACTGCTAGAGCAAGGTCAGCGTAGCTGAGAAAGGGGCACTGACTTAGCCACTGGGCATGTGTTCTGTGGGATATCTTTTGCTGAGAGGAGGATACAGAGTAAGCACTTTTCTCCTTCCATTTTCTTCAGCCATCTTTCCTCACCTCCCCGAGACCTGGTGGCGCCCAGTCTCTACAACACTGGTTTTGTCATTCTGTGTGCAACAGTAGGTTGGAGTACAGGCAAGGTGTAGTAAGCGTTTGGTTTACTTTCAATGCACTGAGGAAAACAAAGCTGCCTCACTCAAACTCAGCAAGGGATTGTCAGAGTGAGGGAGAAATGAGCTCTACCCTGCGTCTCATGGTGGCCTCCAAAAATGTCTTTCCCAATCTCTGACAGAGTACAGGCATTTTTGATGCAAGCAATTAGAAATTCCTAATAAGAATGGAATGGTGCCCGTT